ATGGGCATCATAGGACGGGCATCATAGGACGGGCATCATAGGACGGGCATCATAAGACGGGCATCATAGGACGGGCATCATAAGACGGGCATCATAGGATGGGCATCATAAGACGGGCATCATAGGACGGGCATCATAAGACGGGCATCATAGGACGGCATCATAGGACGGTCATCATAAGACGGGCATCATAAGGACGGGCATCATAGGACGGGCATCATAGGACGGTCATCATAGACGGGCATCATAAGACGGGCATCATAGGATGGGCATCATAGGACGGGCATCATAAGACGGGCATCATAAGACGGGCATCATAGGACGGGCATCATAGGACGGCATCATAAGACGGGCATCATAAGGACGGGCATCATAGGACGGGCATCATAGGACGGGCATCATAGGACGGGCATCATAAGGACGGGCATCATAAGACGGGCATCATAGGACGGGCATCATAGGACGGGCATCATAGGACGGGTCATCATAGACGGGCATCATAGGACGGGCATCATAGGACGGGCATCATAGGACAGGCATCATAGGGACGTGCATCATAGGACGGGCATCATAGGATGGGCATCATAAGACGGCATCATAGGACGGGCATCATAGGACGGGCATCATAGGACGGGCATCATAGGACGGGCATCATAGGACGGGCATCATAGGACGGGCATCATAGGACGGGCATCATAAGACGGGCATCATAGGACGGGCATCATAGGACGGGCATCATCACGGACATCATAGGACGGGCATCATAGACGGGCATCATAGGACGGGCATCATAGGACGGGCATCATAGGACGGGCATCATAGGACGGGCATCATAAGACGGGCATCATAGGACGGGCATCATAGGACGGGCATCATAGGACGGGCATCATAAGACGGGCATCATAGGACGGGCATCATAGGACGAGCATCATAGGACGGGCATCATAGGACGGGCATCATAAGACGGGCATCATAGGACGGGCATCATAAGACGGGCATCATAAGACGGGCATCATAAGACGGGCATCATAGGACGGTCATCATAAGGACGGGCATCATAAGACGGTCATCATAGGACGGGCATCATAAGACGGGCATCATAGGACGGGCATCATAAGACGGGCATCATAGGACGGGCATCATAGGACGGGCATCATAGGACGGGCATCATAGGACGGGCATCATAGGACGGGCATCATAAGACGGGCATCATAGGACGGGCATCATAGACGGGCATCATAGGACGGGCATCATAGGACGGGCATCATAAGACGGGCATCATAGGACGGGCATCATAGGACGGGCATCATAAGACGGGCATCATAGGACGGGCATCATAGGACGGCATCATAGGACGGTCATCATAAGACGGTCATCATAGGACGGGCATCATAGGACAGGCATCATAAGACGGGCATCATAGGACGGGCATCATAGGACGGGCATCATAAGGACGGGCATCATAAGACGGGCATCATAGGACGGGCATCATAAGACGGGCATCATAGGACGGGCATCATAGGACAGGCATCATAAGACGGGCATCATAGGACGGGCATCATAAGACGGGCATCATAGACGGTCATCATAAGACGGGCATCATAAGACGGGCATCATAGACGGGCATCATAAGACGGGCATCATAGACGGGCATCATAGGACAGGCATCATAGGACGGGCATCATAGGACGGGGGCATCATAAGACGGGCATCATAAGACGGGCATCATAGGACGGGCATCATAGGACGGGCAAGACGGGCATCATAGGACGGGCATCACGGAGGCATCATAAGACGGGCATCATAGGACGGGCATCATAGGACGGGGCATCATAGGACGGGCATCATAGGACGGACATCATAAGACGGGCATCATAGACGGGCATCATAGGACGGGCATCATAAGACGGGCATCATAAGGACATAAGGCATCATAAGACGGGCATCATAGGACATAGGGGCATCATAGGACGGGTCATCATAGGACGGGCATCATAAGACGGGCATCATAGGACGTCATCATCATAGGACGGGCATCATAGGACGGGCATCATAAGACGGGCATCATAGGACGGGCATCATAGGACGGGCACATAGGACGGGTCATCATAGGACGGTCATCATAGGACGGGCATCATAGGACGGACATCATAAGACGGGCATCATAGGACGGGCATCATAAGAGGGGCATCATAGGACGGACATCATAAGAGGGGCATCATAGGAGGGGCATCATAGGACGGGCATCATAGGACGGGCATCATAAGAGGGGCATCATAGGACGGGCATCATAGGACGGGCATCTACAAGGAGGAAAGAAACAATGTATCCTCTCTAGAGGAAAATAATAAACAAAATATAAAGGAAGAATAGTTGGATTGTGGACAGTTTTTGGGGCGACACATTTGGGGTGTTAACATAAACTGAAACATTTAATTTCGGTTGTTTTCGGTGTTGGGTTATGGTAACGGCAAGAAATAAAATGCTATTTTTTATCCTGATTTCTTTTGATATTTAAAAGAAATCATGAGATATCCGCGATCATTTATCTTTAATAAAACGCCATGTAATTCCCCCGAAAACAGGAAGTCATTCTATTGGCCGATACAGATTTACCAAAACTATTCAAATCTACAAAACTGACTTCATTCATTGAGATTTCTGTCACCTTCAGGAGCAGTAGGGCCCCGCCCCCTGTATATACACTGCAAGTATTGTCCCCGCCCCCTGTATATACACTGCAAGTATTGTCCCCCCCCCTGTATATACACTGCAAGTATTGTCCCCCCCGCCCCCTGTATATACACTGCAAGTATTGTCCCCACCCCCTGTATATACACTGTATTGCCCCAAGTATTGTTCCCCCCCCCCGTATATACACTGTATTGCCCCAAGAATTGTCGTCCCCCCCCCACGTATATACACTGTATTGCCCCAAAGTATTGTCGTCCCCCCCCGTATATACACTGTATTGCCCCAAGTATTGTCCCCCCCCCCCCCCCGTATATACACTGTATTGCCCCAAGTATTGTCCCCCCCCCCGTATATACACTGTATTGCCCCATGTATTGTCCCCCCCCGTATATACACTGTATTGCCCCAAGTATTGTCCCCCCCCCGTATATACACTGTATTGCCCCAAGTATTGTCCCCCCCCGTATATACACTACATTGCCCCAAGAATTGTCCCCCCCCCGTATATACACTGTATTGCCCCAAGTATTGTCCCCCCCCGTATATACACTATATTGCCCCAAGTATTGTCCCCCCCCCCCCGTATATACACTGTATTGCCCCAAGAATTGTCCCCCCCCGTATATACACTGTATTGCCCCAAGTATTGTCCCCCCCCCCGTATATACACTGTATTGCCCCAAGAATTGTCCCCCCCCGTATATACACTACATTGCCCCATGTATTGTCCCCCCCCGTATATACACTGTATTGCCCCAAGTATTGTCCCCCCCCGTATATACACTGTATTGCCCCAAGTATTGTCCCCCCCCCCCGTATATACACTGTATTGCCCCAAGAATTGTCCCCCCCGTATATACACTGTATTGCCCCAAGTATTTTCCCCCCCCCGTATATACACTGTATTGCCCCAAGTATTGTCCCCCCCCCCCCGTATATACACTGTATTGCCCCAAGTATTGTCCCCCCCCCCCCGTATATACACTGTATTGCCCCAAGAATTGTCCCCCCCCCGTATATACACTACATTGCCCCATGTATTGTCCCCCCCCCCCGTATATACACTATATTGCCCCAAGTACTGTCCCCGCCCCCCCCGTATATACACTACATTGCCCCAAGTATTGTCCGCCCCCCCGTATATACACTACATTGCCCCAAGTATTGTCCCCGCCCCCCCCCGGTATATACACCATATTGCCCCAAGTATTGTCCCCGCCCCATATTGTCCCCGCCCCCCCCCATATATACACCATATTGCCCCAAGTATTGTCCCCGCCCCCCCGTATATACACCATATTGCCCCAAGTATTGTCTCCGCCCCCCGTATATACACTATATTGCCTGCAGGATTGGTCTCCACCCTTTCCACACACATGACCTTTAATGGCCCCCCAGTCTTAGTCCGTAGGGTTCAATATGGAGTTGGCCCCGCCCTTTCCCCACACATGACTTTAATGGCCCCCAGTCTTAGTCCGTAGGGTTCAATATTGAGTTAGCCCCGCCCTTTCCACGCACATGACCTTTAATGGCCCCCCAGTCTTAGTCCGTAGGGTTCAATATTGAGTTGGCCCCGCCCTTTCCTCACACATGACCTTTAATGCCCCCCGAGTCTTAGTCCGTAGGGTTCAATATTGAGTTGGCCCCGCCCTTTGCCTCTTCTGGGAAGGCCGTCCACAAGGTTTAGGAGGGTGTCTATGGGAAGGTTGGACCATTCTTCCAGAAGCACATTTGTCAGGTCAGGCACTGATGTCGGGGGAGGGGCACTGATGTCGGGGGAGGAGGCCTGGCTCGCAGTCTCCACTCTAATTCATCCCAAAGGTGTTCTATGGGGTTGAGGTCAGGAATCTGTGCAGGACAGTCAAGTTCCTCCACCCCAAACTGGCTCCTCCATGTCTTTATGGACCTTGCTTTGTGCACTGGTGGGCAGTCATGTTGGAAAAGGAAGAGGCCATCCCCAAACTCCTCCCACAAAGTTGGGAGCATGAAATTGTCCAAAATGTCGCCTTAAGAGTTCCCTTCACTGGAACTAGGGGGCCAACCCAACCCCTGAGGAAACAACCCCACACCATAATCCCCCTCCTCCAAACTTTACACTTGGCACAATGCAGTCAGGCAAGTACCGTTCTCCTGGCCACCGCCAAACCCAGACACGTCCATCAGATTGCCAGACAGAGAAGCATGATTGGTCCCTCCAGAGAACACGCCTCCTCTGCTCTAGAGTCCAGTGGCGGCGTGCTTTACACCCCAGCATCCCAACGCTTTGCATTGCACTTGGTGATGGAAGGCTTGGATGCAGCTGCTCGGCCATGGAAACCCATTCCATGAAGCTCTCTACGCACTGTTGTTGGGCTCATCTGAAGGCCACACCAAGTTTGGAGGTCTTTAGCTATTGACTCTGCAGACAGTTGGTGACTTCTGCGCACTGTGCGCTTCAGCATGCGCTGACCCCGCCCTGTCATGTGACGTGGCCTACCACTTGGTGGCTGAGTGGCTGTTGTTCCCAGTGGCTTCCACTTTGTTATAATCCCACTAACAGTTGAGCGTGGAATATTTAGTAGCCAGGAAATGTCACGGATGGACTTATTGCCCAGGTGGCCACCGATCACGGGACCACGCTTGGAGTCACTGAGCTCCTGAGAGCGACCCATTCTTTCACCAATGTTTGTAGAAGCCGTCTGCATGCCTAGGGGCTTGATTGTATACACCTGTGTCCATGGAGGGGATTGGAACACCTGAATCACATGATATGGAGGGGATTGGAACACCTGAATCACATGATATGGAGGAGATTGGAACACCTGAATCACATGATATGGAGGGTGGAGACAATATTTTCGACAAAATAGTGTACATTATAAACACTGAGGGGCCCCATGTATGATATATTCTATAAGCACCGAGGGGCCCGACGTATGATATACATTATAAGCTCAGAGGGGCCCCATGTATGATATGATCTATAAGCCCATGTATGGGGGCCCCATGTATGATATGCTCTATAAGCCCAGAGGGGCCCAAATGTATGATATGCTCCATAAGATCTTTAAGCCCAGAGGGGCCCCATGTATGATATGCTCTATAAGCCCAGAGGGGCCCCATGTATGATATACTCTATAAGCCCAGAGGGGCCCCATGTATGATATGATCTATAAGCCCAGAGGGGCCCCATGTATGATATGCTCTATAAGCCCAGAGGGGCCCCATGTATGATATGATCTTTAAGCCCAGAGGGGCCCCATGTATGATATGATCTATAAGCCCAGAGGGGCCCCATGTATGATATGATCTATAAGCCCAGAGGGGCCCCATGTATGATATGATCTATAAGCCCAGAGGGGCCCCATGTATGATATGATCTATAAGCCCAGAGGGGCCCCATGTATGATATGATCTATAAGCCCAGAGGGGCCCCATGTATGATATGATCTATAAGCCCAGAGGGGCCCCCCATGTATGATATTCATGTATGATGCACTTATAAGCCCAGAGGGGCCCCATGTATATGATAAGCCCATACATGTACTCTATAAGCCCAGAGGGGCCCCATGTATGATGTACTCTATAAGCCCAGAGGGGCCCCAGAGTATGATATATTTGGCCCAGAGATGTATATTTGGGGTTCCCGGTTCCTCTTTCCCTCTCCGGTGTCCCCCGGCTGCAGCCCATTATCCCGTGTCAATGGTTGTGGAAATCAGAGGAATGTCACATTCGGTGGCCCCAGGCGACTGTATTTCGGGGAAGTAGCTGTCATTCCTCTACAGGTGACACATTAGGAGTCTAAATATGATGGAGATTACATTGTAAATATGATAAATAAACTGTCAGGCCGGCACCCCGCCTACACCAAACCCAGCCTACACCCACACCCCACCTACAACACACCCATCCTACACCACACCCTGGCTACACCACACCCTCCTACACAACACCCCCCTACAACCTACTGCCTACACCAAACCCCACCTACACCACACCCATCCTACACCACACCCCCCCCAACACCACACCCCCCACACCACCCCCCCTACACCACACCCCTGCCTACACCCCACCCCCCTACACCACACCAAAACTACACCACACCCCACCTACACCACACCCCGCCTACACCAAACCCCGCCTACCCACCCCCCCTACACCCAAAACCCACCCACCACCCCTGGCCCAACACCACACCCCCTACACCACACCCCACCCCCCACACCCCCCTACACCCCCCACCCCCCCACACCACACCCACCCTACCACACCCCACCCCCTACACCAAACCCTGGCTACACCACACCCTCCCCACACCACACCCCCCTACACCACACCCCCACCCCCAACAACACCAACCCCGCCTACCCCACCCCCCCCACACCACCCCCACCTACACCACACCCGTCCTACACCACACCCCCCCCTACACCACACCCCCTCCCACCAAACCCCCCTACACCACACCCTGGCTACACCACACCCGTCCTACACCACACCCCCCTACACCAAACCCCCTACCCACACCCCCTACCCAAAACCCGCCTACCCACACCCCCCTACACCCCCCCACCCCCTACACCACACCCCACCTACCCACACCCTGCCTAACACAAACCCCACCTACACCCACCCCCATCCTACACCACACCCCCCCACCCCCTGGCTACACCACACCCGTCCTACACCACACCCCGCCTACACCACACCCTGCCTACACCAACACCCCGCCTACACCACACCCTGGCTACACCCACCCCGCCTACACCACAACCCCGTCCTACACCACACCCTGCCTACACCAAACCCCTTATGATTAAGTCGATGACGAAACGCGTCAAGGGCTGTGACGTCAAGACGCATACCGGAACCGGAAGTTGACCGGCGGCCATTTTACAAAAGGGAAAAGAGGATAAAGACTGTGTGTTGGTCCCTGGATGTTCCCTGGATGGTAGCTTGGCGGTTTCTACGGTATCTAAAGTGGTTTTAAATCTTTTGAAATGTGAGCAGTTTTAATAAAGTTTTCTCTGTACTTTACTTTGGCGGTCCCCCACACTATTTGTCCCTCATATGCTTTGTGTCTATATGGTGCCATTGATATGGAGAAATGGAAAATCCTGCTGGAATAGTGCCCTGAATACAGTGGAATCTGGGGGAGCACTTTAGGAGGGTCCCATCCATAGGATAATTATTGAAAGCAGGTTTATGGAGGAGTGTTGGTATATATTCCTTACTACAATATTATTATTATTATTATACAGGATTTATAAAGCCCCCATAGTTCGCTCAGCGCTGTACATTACAGAGGGGACAGAACATGTGACAGAACAATACCAATACAATGTGATACACGAGGGGATCGAGGGCCCTGATCCTGGGAGCTTACAATCTAGGAGTGGCACAGTGTGGATTTGTTTTTGGAGCACTGGAAGAGTGATTCACAGTACACAGTGTTTTGCACTAATTAATTTATATATTTTTTAATTAATTAAATTATGCACTTTTCATACTAATTTTTAAAAAAAAATAAAACACATATTGATGCACTTGGTAATCACAGACCCGTCACCCACCTAATTCCATTTTATTTTGGATAATCACCAACTGTCTCCCCACGAATATTTTATTATATTATAAAGAAAATACACTATGTGATATTTTTTTTTGTTTGAGGTTTATCGTGAGAAAGGAAGGATTGAAAAGGATTTCTCAGTCTCATTTTTATATTTATAATTTTTGGAATTTGTTCAAATTTATATTAATTTTGCTTGGACTTTTTTTGGGACCCCCTCTTACTTTTTTGAATTACTTTTTTTTGGATATTTTTTTGAATTATTTTTTTTGAACTTCTTTTTGAATATTGATATATAGTTACTTTATGAGGTGAATTGTACAAGTATTTATCTATTTTTATGTATTTTGGCACATTTTCACATTGTTATTTTATATCTTCAAGGGTGAAGGTTTGATTTGTGCTATGGGGAATTAAGCTTTGCTGCATATTGGTTTTTCTAATTTGTCACTTATTATACTTAAGGAAGTGGTAGTTATAGTACCACCACACCCCCCCTACACCACAGTTACCCCGTCCTAACCCCCACCCCCCTACACCAAACCCCGCCTACACCACACCCGTCCCCCCCCCACACCCCCCTACACCCACACCCCCCTACACCCCCCCCCCTACACCACACCAAACCCCCCTACACCACACCCGTCCTACACCACACCCCGCCTACACACCCCCAAACCCCCGCCTACACCACACCCGTCCTACACCACACCCCGCCTACACCACCCCGCCTACACCACACCTAGTACACCAACCCCCCCGCCTACCCCACCACACCCGTCCTACACCACACCCCGCCTACACCCCCCCCTACACCACACCCGTCCTACACCACCACCCCGCCTACACCACACCCGTCCTACACCACACCCCGCCTACACCAAACCGCCTACACCACACCCCACCTACACCACATCCGCCCACCACACCCGCCTACACCACACCCCCCTACACACCCCCACACCAAACCCCCCTACCCACACCCGTCCACACCACACCCCTACACCCCCCCTACCACCACCCCGTCCTACACCACACCCTACTACCAAACCCCGCCTACACCACACCCGTCCTTCACCCACCCCGTCCTACACCACACCCCGCCTACACCAAACCCCGCCTACACCACACCCGTCCTACACACCCCACCTACCCCCTCCCTACACCACACCCTGACTACACCACACCCCGGCTACACCACACCCCACCTACACCAAACTCCGCCTACACCACACCCCACCTACACCAAACTCTGCCTACACCACACCCTGATGCCCCGTCAGTCTGGGTCTGATTCCTCAGGTTCCCCTCTAGGTGCAGCTAACACCCGTCTGTTGGCAATCCATCTGTCCACCTCCCAGAGGCCCACATGACAGCTGAGGTTCCCATCTTTCTTCAGACAAAATATTGACCTTGTAACAGGGTGTTAGGTCCCCCTAAGGGTAGGTCCTACTTCTTGGGTGACTAAGCAGTGGGCATGCCCCTTTAGGCCTTTGTGATAGGATAGAAATAGTCAGGTGGGAGGAGTCAGTTAGTGGAAGTAGATAGGCAGAATGGTCTGGAAGTTGTACAATGCAATGGATTGAGAGCACCTCCCTGGGAGGTAATAGCCTGTGGCTGGGGAAGGATCCCTGTCATGGGAAGAAGAGGGACTAGTGGAGCATCTGAATACTCAATGAAACCAACAGAAATATCCTACAAATGGGCCGCGATCAGATCTCTTGTTTGGGGAAAGTTACCGTTTGCTGTAGAAACTCGATTAAAACTCGTTTGGAGTGAAGTTCACGTTTCTTCAATGGAACCCGACTGGGCATTTGTGTGTCAGGGGAGGGAGGAGCAATAACAGTGGGCTCTGTACAGCGAGAGGTTCTGGTGTCTGCCCTGCCCAAGGAAAAGGTGTCGCTGGGTTGTAGGCAGCTGCAGTCTCTTTCCTCCAGGAAAGTCAGGAGAAACATACCCCTCTATGGTTTCCTGGGTCAATAGGGAAGTGATCCAGTTGGATGCTGCTGCCCCATGTGACTCTGGAGGCCATCTTGGATCAGGCAGAGTCTATTTAAGACATTGGTGTGTATTTTGTGAGTGGACAGTGTAGAGGCAGGCTACCCATCTGTCAGGGAAAGAGAATGACAATAGGGAAAAGTTCCACATGTGTAGGGACAGGATAGGAATGTGCTATCCTCTTCAGGAACCCTCCCTATTGGGCACAGACTGGCCAGGCCACATTCCACCCTCAGAGACAGACGCTGTCGACACACCAGAACCTGCTCTGCTCTACACCACAATACAGAACAGTGAGGGTTCCCAGTCAGGTGCCTTCCTGCCCGGCT